TGTGTTTCACGCAGAGGTGTTTCCTTCCCCAGGGTCACAGAGAGCGCGCGTACAAACTAGCGTCTGGTTAACAAAAGAAATTAGTGACGTGCTTTAGTTCACGCTAAGGCCACGGTGGTGTGTGAGGTCCAGGAGTCTTAATCACATACTTTCCAGCCTGATGAATAGCTCAGTGAGCAAGTCTGGGTAAGAGATGGAGAATCATGAAAGAGTCCCAGGACGGCCATCCAAAGGTCACCGTCCCCACTCTATTGCAGCCCCAGACACCCACCTCTGAGCTGCTAGGTTAGAAATCTAGAATGTTTGAAGGTTTTATTGACACCTGTAGGTAGGCAGCAGGGGGGTAGGGCACAGAAGCCCCAGACCAATCTCATGTGACACATCTGATCAAGGCTCAAAATGTCCAAAAGCCCTTTTCCCAACAACAGGCTATCACTCTGCCATCAACATGACAAAAGCCCCTCCAGACAGGAGCTGAGCCGCACAGTGACAGAGACCCAATGTCACCTTGTCGTGAACTCAGCACCATGACGTGCCACGCCGCCTGTGGGGCTGGACTCTGTCTCCGTACCTGGGCTCGGCTCCACACCCCCACCAACACCCCATCTCGGGGCCCCTCATCTGGCATCAGCTCACCAAATAAACACCAACGTGACATGAACCCGCGAACCGCCGGGGCAGGGCTTCTCCAATAGCTGCCATAGTGAGCTGCACGCCCATCAACACCATCTGCGAGCTGCCTGGGACATGACACCAGGCGGGGCGGGGCGGTCCAGCTGCCTGACCCTCTCCGACCCGCCCACCCCGCACACTGCAAAGGAACCCCGAAACCGCTCAAAAACCACCGAGCTGGGGAGGAGACATCGGAGGCCAGTCTTCGCAGAAGCTCAGTTTCGGGGCACGGAGGCGTGACGGGTGGTGAAGGCCACAGGGCTTGGCCAGGGGCACCTCTGGTGGGGGTGCAGGAGAGCTTCCTGGGCTAGGAGCAGATGCCTGCTCCCCGAGTTCCCTTGTGCCTGAAGACGTCTTCTTGCGCGTCCCCCTTGGCTGGATGCGCTGTCCTGGGTCCTGAGGACTGTCACCTGGCCTCCTGGGTGGGAACATGGCCCAGACGTCTGAGGCTGCCCGGCCTGTCACTGCTGACTCGCTCGCTCTGCCTGCAGTTTCTTCCTTACCTTTGGTCCGGGCACTGGCCAGGTTGCGCTCAGCGCTGCTCTCTTGACCTGCTTCAGCGTGGAGTGTGGGTGGCTGGTCTTCCTTCCTGCAGGGACCTCTTCTGGGCTCCATCCCACACCTGTGCTGGGCAGGCCTGTCTGTCCCCATACATCGTCTGTCCTAAATGCTGTAAAACCTTGACTTCTCCTCGGCAATGTCTACAGTTGTCTTCCACCTAAGGTCTCGCCCCGGTGCCCTAATGGAATAGTGGGTCTGGGCAGTAGTGACCAACAGAGCAGAGGCCGCTAGAGCCACAAGACAGAGGCGGACGGGACTCGGTCACACATGGAACCGGGTGACACCTGAACCCACTGAAGGGCAGCAAATGAAGCTGATATCGCTGGGCGTGATGCCGGATATCCCATGCTCCCAGCCTGCACCTGACCCAGCCCCAGAGCCGGCTGGCCAGGGTCGAGCCGCTCGCCGCATGTGGTCACTTCAGTTCCCTAACTAAACACTGGGTTCCGCAGTTCCTCCGACCACATTCACGTGCTCCCAGCCACGTGTGGCCCTCCCCGTCCAGCTCAGACGGGCAGGTGTTTGTCTCAGAGTGAAGCAATCTGCAAGCTTGTCAGACCTGCTCCCGTCGCTCTCCAAAACTCTCCTGGTCATTTTCCACTTCGCTTCCTTTTGTTCTCGCATCCAGAGACATGAGGAGCACCCAGGTGCTCAAGCAGCCCCGCAGCGGTGGGAGTGACCGCCAACAGCCCTCAGACCCTCCCGCAGCCACATCTCCCCGAAGCACTTGCCTGCCGGGGCCCTGGCACATCGGCCAGTGGTTGTGGTAAGGTGTGGACAGGGCTCCAATGAAACTGACCGAGAGCCCTGGTTGCGTGTGGCTGTGTCGGTACACCGGGAGGTCCAGTAAGGCAAGTCCGGAGATCGGCCGGCCGGAGAAAATGTGCAAAGTGGGGAGAGAGGGAGGGCCTCCCGGGGACACAGCCGTGAGCACAGCCACCACTATGGGGACGCATGGCAAAGCTCGCAGCTCAGAGGGCTCTGCTGTGCATGGGAACGGGCAGCAGAGGATGGCTGCCAGCCGCTCACTGGCCTCACGCGTGTTTCCTTATCTCTTCTTACCACCATCACATGGGAGGCAGGTTTTAGCTCTTAGACCTTATTGCCTAGACCGTGGGTGCTCCCAAAACGTCAGAGGACGATGCCTACAGCCCTAAATATGTGAACGCTGTGTAGATGCTTGCCAACCCAGCCAGCGCCGAGCTGGGGCGGCTGCGGACAGGTGCCAGGTGTCCCAGCCTCACCGGCATTCTGTGAGCCTCACCTTGTCCACATGGGCGTGCCAGTACTCGTCGTGGGCCGTCCGGGCTTCCGTGCTATTAATGCGGGAGAAGAACGTGGGTTTCGTCAGGTACAGCAAGGATGCGCTGATGCCAAAGGCCTGGGCGATCGCCAGCTGGACCTTCTGTCGCACGTCCCTGCAGAGGACACACGTGTCACCAGGAGCAGCATGGCCTCGGAGGAGAGCTCTACTTGGGTTCCACCATGCCCACACAGGGATACATGGACTGGAGGAAAGTGGAGACGGACACGCACATGGTACCCCACACACGTGTAACAGGATGTGATGGACATGACCAGGAACCCGGGACCAGTTCCTTGTAGCAATGAGCACAGCACCAAGCTCAGAGCGGGGCAGTGCCAGTGGGACAGACAGGAGCAGTGGCGGGGGCTGAGTGGCCCTCTGCACGTGGCCCACACGTTCCTGTGCAGCATAGAAAGGCCTGGAGGACCCCAGCCCTGGACTGGGGGTGACACTGTGCATGGTCGCGGGGAGGGGGCGCACAGCCGGACACAGCGGAGGGTGGTGCACCAGGAGACACAAGCCCCTCCCTCCCGTGTGGTGAAATCCTAAATCCACGTGATTTAATCCTTCCAACATTTCCAAACTACTGGTTGACCCTCTGACATGCATGTCACTAGCCAAAGAGTGCCCCCATCCAGGCCGTGGAGCTGATCATGGTACAACCAGGAGCGGGGTTCCTGCCAACACCCAGGACAATTTCCAGATCCTTTCGTGGGACTCTAAGTCACAGAATCCAACCTTTTCTGGTTGGTGCCGAAGGCAAAACCACCAAATTGCTTCTGTTTTGTTTTCCTCAGTGGCCCTTTGTCAGCTGAACGTCAGAGAGAATGTGAGGTCTGACGAGAAGCTGGGTCTGCGCAAACTGCCCTCGGTGAGCCGCCTGGCGCCAGACCCACAGGGTGGCCACCGTAATAGAAACCGAGAACCGCGTGGGCTGAGCTCTCTCTCTGACTTTCCAAGATTGAAATGTTAAGTTAGCATCGCTCTCACAAGCCACTATTCCAGAACATTCTGGCTAGACGTCGGCCCCGTCCCTCCTGCCCTCCGTGGCTGACCTCCTGTCTCCTCCTCACCGGTATAACTGGAAGTCCTCTTCTGAAAAGATATTTTCTATTTTATCCCCAAAGTACCTGTGAAAAAGTAAAAGGGGCATTCACAAGTGTAACGTTTTATTAATTTTCCCTTTAAATTCAGTCTTCCTTCCAGCTAACCCCCAAGTCCCTGAAAATAGGCAGGTCCTGTATGTCGGAGCTGAGCTGTTTCTACAACGAAACTACGTGACAAAAGAGAGGGTGGGGGACGGAGGTCAGAACTGCCTGGTGGGGTGAGGGTGACAGTTATGGAGACTGCAGAGTCGAGGCTTCTCCTGGTCCCTCCCTATGGCTCAGGGGAGCCCGCCTGCCTCACGTCTCTCCCCGCTGCCCCTGGGCCCCGTCCCTCGGCTCCTGGCAGGTCCCAGCTCCCCCAGAAGTCCCGATGGAGCACTCGGCTGTCCCCTGAAGCTTGGTGATGGAGCACCCTGCCCTCTGAGAAGGGCCACACCTTCGGTCCTCGTGTGGCCGTGTCTCTGTGGCAAATGTCACACTCTACCCAACACGGGAGGCCTCTCGGATGCAACATTCACGAGCCTCACTGGGGTGTCCCTGGCTAGGGAACACACACAGCCACACGCTCACGTGGCACCATTGGGGTCACCACCCCTCGGGCTCTCACCTGTACAGGTTCACAAAGTGCTTCCCGACAGACAGGGCGCCTGAGTGCAAATCCAAGATGGACGCCTGCAAAAGACGTTTGCAGAGCAGAGCGTGAGGGCTGTACGGCCGTGACGGGAGCGCTACCAGTTGCTGACCAAAACCTAGGTGACCGAGGTCTGTCCCACACACACCCTGAGTCAGCGCAACAGCATGTACCGGTAGGTTTTAAGAGAGTCAGACCCGGGGTGTGTGTAGGACGGATCCTGTTCTCTGCTTCCTAAAGAGGAAACTCTAGTCTAATTCTAAAACAGTCCAAAGAGCTCACTCAAGAGTGTGATCTCTGAGCAACAGTGGTTTGAGTCCTGGCCCGAGCTGAGCTGCCGCAAAGCTGCCAACAGGTGGCAGGATGGCTCAGCTAAAAAATAAAATAAAATAAAACAGTCCAGACACCATCCCTCCAGATCCATCAGCGAACTGTGAGTCCCTCCCTCCGTCCTGCAGCTTTGTTGATGTAAAACCCACACATAACCATCTGCTCGTGTTGAAAGTGTACAGTTCGATAAGTTTTGATGTCGGAATACACCAGCAGAACCAACATCGCCATCAAGACAATGAACGCATCTATCACTCCCAAATTTCCTTGCACCCCTTTGTAACACCCACTCCTGCCTCTCTCCACCCACTCCTCCCATCCCCAGGCTCTAATGTGCTTTCTGCCATAATAGACTGATTTACATTTTCTAGAATTTTAGGTAAATGGAGTCGTGCGGGATGCACTCCATTTGGGGCTGGCTCCTTTCACTCAGCATAACCACTTTGCAATCTGTTCATCAATTGTCTGTTCTACCCCATTGTTGAGAGCACCCCAGTTTGTTCGTCCATTCACCTGTAGGTGGCCGGGGAATCGAGCCGGTGGGCGTGTCTGTATGGACAGACGCTTTCATTCTCTTAGGCAAATGTCATGGAGTGGAATTGCTGGGTCGTAGCCTTTTAATGAATCACCAAAGTGTTTCCCACCACTGCCCATGCTGCCCCGCGTCCCGGGAGGGGAAGTGGCTACCAGTCTGGGGAGCATGTGTGCCTTTCCTCACTGGTGCCGTGTTGGGAGCCATGAAGGCTGGCTTTACTGTAGTATAACTTGTTTTGCTTCTTGCTCCTTTCTGCACCTGGACGATTCTTACTTAACCTTGAGGTATGTGGTGAGAAGGCCAGTTCCTTAGAAGACACAATAAGATAGAGGGCTATCTGGGTTTGGGGAAGATAGTTTCCTGGGAA